CTCTCTTTCATATTCTATCTTTCTACCTGCTATCTTTCGACACCCTCAATAGTGAGTTCGCGGTTACCCAGATGCGGTTGATGCCTGTTTTATGTAATAGACTCTTTTTGTTTCTACCAGTTGCGGTATCCATGAGTGAATAGGCCTGTTAATACCAGGTTGGTTTGGGCGAGTAGGATGGCGTGGAGTTGGGCGCTACGGAGTGTGAGTCAGGGACGTCGCTAGGATCTGAGGCAGCCTGATGGAGCAGACGGGCCCTTCGGGCGACGACTTGCTTTACATCGGCTCCACCGACGACGTCATCACCTGGTTCGAAGGGGAGGTGCAGAAGGACCTCACGCTCACCGTCTCCTCCACCGTCACCCAGTATCTCGGGCTCAACATCCGCGAAGAGGTAGATAGCATTTCTCGGATGTTGAGAAATACGCCGACACTATCGCCAAGCGCTTCTCGCTCACGCCTACCGCCATCGCCACGCCATACCGCCACACGACAGGAAGCGGCAAAGGAAATTCCACTCCACTTAAGGCTGCCGGAATACGAGACTACCAGAGGAAATTGGGCTGCCTCCTCTTCGCAGCCGTCACCTGTCGCCCGGATCTATCCTACTCCGCGAGTCAACTCGCCACCTATCTCAAGAAACCCGAAGCAGAGCACATGGCGGAGCTCGATCGCGCACTACACTACTTCGTGAGCACACCGACAATCGGCCTGACCTACTACAAGGGCGAAGCTACGACAACGAAACTGATCGGCTACGTCGATGCTGACCATGCCGGCGATTCTGATAACAGGCGCTCTCGCACTGGCTACGTATATCGTCTCGAGCCTATCGGACTTATCTCCTGGCAGTCGACTAAGCAGGAACTAATCGCTCTCTCTTCAGCTGAAGCAGAATATATCGCCCTCTGCTCAGCCACCAAAGAAGGACTCTACCTTCGCGAGCTGCTGGAAGAAGCAAAGTTAGCCGAGTTACCCAACTTCACCCTGTTCTGCGACAACCAATCTGCAATTTGCATCGCCAACAAAAGCGGATTCGCGAACAGAACGAAGCATATCGCTCTGCGATACTTCTTCGTGAAGGACGAGATCGAGAAAGGGAAACTCAAATTATCCTACTGTCCCACGTCCGAGATGGCAGCCGATTATTTGACCAAGAAACTCGGAAAACAGAAGTTCGAGTACTGCATGCTGCTGACTGGACAAGGCCACGTCACCATCAGCGACACTCCAGAAGCGAAGGGGAGTGTTGGGAACAATAAGTCTTAAGCGCCTCTGTCGTGTCGAAACTTAGGACACTAACGAAGCAGTCAGAATCGAAGCATCGCGAGTCAACCCTCGGAGGTTAGGGTAACCGCCTGGAGGTTACGGGAAAGTCAAAGGTCAGCGACCTTTGACTCGACAATTACAGCGCGACAGCAAGGACACACAAACTGACTCGACATTGAGCAGTTGCCCGAGTCGCACTGTATCGAATCGCAACAGTAAAACGGTTTAAATCTATCTATTCGTATTCCTTGTACTCTTATATAAACCTTGTATCTGTTTGTTTAATTCAACTTACTTTGCCCTCACATACCAGCGCAAGGTGGTTCAAACACTTTCATTCATACGCTTCCGCTATTACAATCCTACTCAGACTTTAAGCTCTACAAAGATCCTAGGACTTTTCAGTCCAACAGTTCAAACGGTCCTGTGTGAGAATGGTGACGTCGATGTGTTCAGCCATGGCGAAGGGCGTCGGCTCGACTTAGTCTAGGCGAGGTCGTGGCTGCACGCGTTTACGAGAGAACGCGAGGACAATGGCTCCTAGGGGCTAAGGTGCGTGAGTCCTTTCGAGTGAAAAAATAAATTTTGCCTCTCTGGGGTGCGGAGATGCGTGGTCCGAAAATGAAAGAAGCTCTGATACCAAATGTTACGGGTACAATGGATCGAGGTAACGAGGATTGCACTAAGTATCAAACGAGTACAAAATGTGAGCGAACGCATGAACGAACATTTGTACGCGAAACATGCAAAACGACAACGCGGTGCGTGCGAGCTAGCTAGTGCTACGTTGGTAGCAAGGTTCAGGCTAGTCCCGAAGCGTAGACCGACACGGTTGGGCAAGCAGTGCGAGGTTTAGTGAAACAGTGCGCGCGAAGTTGGCGAAGCCCCATTAGCAGTAACGGGCAAACAAAGGCTGCTGCTGTACGTGGTGTCGCTGGTCTTAGTAAGGAATGTTTATTACACTCACATAAGTAGCATGTTTCTTGTAAAAAATCCAGCACTAACCTGAATGGCTAGGCTGGGCTGGTTGGAAATATGGGCTTCTGGAGGGAGGCTCACCGAGCCGTGTTGGCTGGTTCGTCTTGTTCGTTTGTCCGCATCCCCAATTACCAGGCGACGAAGAAGCTTCGGTTCCGCCATTTCATTTGCCAAATCCTGCACAGCGGACCGCGATTGCCCTGGGCGCGACTCGGTTCAAGGGCTGGCCAGAATGTGACGTGGAGGTGGGGCGGGGCCACGGAACTTCGACATTTCTCCCCCTCACTTGCACGATAAATATGCAAGAGCAAGCCCATTCCTAACAGACCAATTCGAAGCAACTCCAATCATCAACTTGACCACACAAGTCCGCTCAACCATCTCACGTCGTCTACCATCCCCATACACACTCGCCTTCAGGCTATATGGCTCTCGTTAACGATTCACGGATTTCAAGGTCGACACAACAGGTAGCATCGGACGGGGACATTGAATCAGGAAACTCCGCTTTCTCAGTCCCAGACGCTTCGCTTCCAGTTTCCTCATCCCCTCAGAAATCGCTTCCAGTTTTTTGCTGCGCGCCTCCGCTTGCGCGGAACGCAGTTTCCGCAAGTGGCAGCGGCGACGAGGAGAACCCGGGAGAGTTCACCGCGGTTTACCCTTCCGACTTGCACATCGCCAAACCTAAAGAAGTAGCCAGCACTGCAGACGAAACAGAGAAGCTTCGCAAGGACGAGAAGGATCGCCGGAGGCGTCGTCGCCGGACCTGCTGCTGCCGCATCACATGCTGGTTGCTTATCGTCCTCACCGTCGTTATCGTCGGATTAGGCGTCGCAGGGCTCGTCGCATACCTGACAGTCTCGAAGCAACAGCCGGAGGTGAAGGTCGAGCAAATCAACATCCTCCGCGTCGGCATCACAAAATCCGGCGGCGGGTTCCTGGGCCTCGAAAACTTCCGCCTGGGCCTATCCGCGTTAATAAACGTCACCGCGCTCGTGTATAACCCCAACAACTGGGACGTGGAAGCGGAAAACATCAGCGTGGACGTAAAATTCTTCGACATGAATGTTACAAATGTGACCATTCCTGGCGTCGTGGGCATGAGCAAGGGTGGGAGCGCGGAGTTGACTGTCCCCCTCGATATTGTCGACGCGCCCCTGGCGACGCTGAGTCCCGCGAGCCTGCTGACGACGCCGCTGCTGCATGGGCGCGCGGAAATGCGGGTGGTGGTTGGCACTGCAGCGCGCGTGAAATACTGGGGCATCTCGTCGCCACGCGTTATGGTGCATGTGGAATGCACGATGCAGCTGGACCCGTTTTCCGCTAAGAAGTACAACGAGCAGTGTACTCCCAGCATCTCTCTGTGAATGGCGGCATGACTTGGTTAGGATACTCTTTGCCATACTCCTTTTAGCTGTCCGTTTTCAGGGGCTACCCCCTGCTTGTAGTTCTGTCCCTAATTCGGGGACCTCCACTCAAAGATGCACCTCCTTTTTTTGCTTTCATTTACTTCAGTTTCTTGCCAATGTAATCTGCAACTTCAGATCTATCACAACAACAATGCCCATTGCGAAAGAATTTAGCCAAATAGTAGTAGCATGACATGAAAGGGCCAGTCAACATGTTATGGTGCAGCATGTCAACTGGCATCTCATGTAAACTGGACTTGTTTAAATTGCTCACGCCAATCTTGGCCATGTATGCTGATAAACAGTCTTCTTCAGTCTCCGAAACGAGCATGCCTCAGCTTCCTGGAAACAAGAGAAGTGAGATGCCAGGGAAAGTAGGCCAGGTGGAAATTGGAGTGAATCACAAGTGGGGCTTGACCAAACCAGTTCTGCTAGGAGCTGCCATCATAATTTGCAGTAACACAAGAATAAAATTTACAGAGACAGAAAAAAAAACACACACACACACACACTTGGGACACACCTTGGTGGATAACCGCCAGGTACTCCTTCACGAGCACGAGGTGGCGACACCTCATTCGCTGGACGCGGCCGCCCACATCCCTCCCTTCCATCCCCCACCTCCTCAATCACCACTCCTCGCCTCAACACCACATCCCCGGCCTCTCTCACGCTCTGAACCACAGCCGCCTCTGCTGTTGCTCCAGATGCATGTAAACCTTGTGCTGCTGCAGGTGCTGCCGTATGCAAACCATGTGCTGCTGCTGCTCCGTGCATCCCTCGCTCTGGCCCCAATCCATGCATTCCTGCTCCTCCTCCTCCTCCTACCCCTACCCCTAGTCCAGATACACTGTCCCCTCGAGATCTCCCTGACACTGTTGCAATCGCTGCTGCGGCTGCTGCAGCTGCCGCCGCCCCTCCTGCTCCGAATGAGTGTCTGGATGCAATTCCTGCTGCGGCCGGTGCCGTTGCTGATGCAGAGGTTTGCCGCTCCAAACCTGCTGTTGAGGCTTGGTAGGAGGCTTGGCGAGTGGGTTGGTACGTGTAGGCAGGATCGAGAGGCAGGTTCCCTGAAACAGTGGCACAGATGGGAAGGGAGAAGGGATGGGCGGAGTGGGAGTGAATGGAGGGATAGGTAAACAGAGGTCAAGGAGGGGGAGGAGGAATTGGTGGAGAAGAAGAGAATGGAGAGATACAGGCAACAGGGGTGAAGAGACATGGTTGGCTGGTATCACCGGCACTCGCAACGACCAGCAACCACACCAGAAGCACCATCCCTACCTCCACGAATACTTGAGTGGTGGACGGAGGATTTCAAAGCCAAGGAAATCAACTCATGCTCCTTCAGCCCCGACAGCCCCACTGCCCGTCCTGCTGCAGCACTAGCCACACCACCACCAGCGGCAGCAGCAGCCCCAAACACACACCCCAATCCCCACCTGAGTGGTGCACGGACGATTCGAGGGCAGACGAGATGAACTCAAGCTTCTTCAGCCCCGACAGAGAAATGGCCCCACTGCCCCACTGCCCCACTGCCCCACCCACAGAAGCACCACTACCAACAATTTCACCAGCAACACACCCACACCCCCACTTGAGAGGTGCACCGAGGACTCGAGAGCAGTTGGGAGAAACTCAAGCTCCTTGAGCCCAGACAGCCCCACTGCTTCCCGAACCCCCCATCCCCCCCCCCCTCCAAGCAGTAACATCAGTACTTCCCACCTGAGTGGTGCACCAAGGAGAGGACTCGAGGGCAGACGAGAGGAACTCAAGCTCCTTGAGCCCAGACAGCCCCACTGCTTCCCGAACCCCCCATCCCCCCCCCCTCCAAGCAGTAACATCAGTACTTCCCACCTGAGTGGTGCACCAAGGAGAGGACTCGAGGGCAGACGAGAGGAACTCAAGCTCCTTGAGCCCAGACAGCCCCACTGCTTCCCGAACCCCCCAACCCCCCCCCCCTCCAAGCAGTAACATCAGTACTTCCCACCTGAGTGGTGCACCAAGGAGAGGACTCGAAGGCAGACGAGAGGAACTCAAGCTCCTTGAGCCCCGACAGCACCACTGCCCACATCTCCCCCCTACTCCCCTACCCCTCCCCTGAAGCACCACTCCCACCTGCACCCTTACCTGTATGGTGCACGGAAGATTCCAAAGCAGACGAGATGAATTCAAGCTCCTTCAGCCCTGATAGCCCCACTGCCCCCCCTGCTGGCGCGCCCTTCCCCGCAGCAAGCTGAGGCACGGCCATCTGTGACATGTCCGCCAGGCCCTGAGAGTAGATGGGAAGGCAGAGAGGAAGGCAGAGAGGAAGGGAGAGGAAGGGAGAGGAAGGAAGGGAGATGACAGAAAAAGAGAATGAGCTGGACCCTTGCCCGTGGCGACCTGTGGCACGGCCATTTGAGACATGTCCGCCCGGCCCTGAGAGAATGAGAGGAAAGCAGATGGCAGGAGCACAAGGGAGGGCAGGAGAGAGCTGGAGCGTGATGCCCTTGCCCGTGGCACTCTGCAGCACAGCCATCTGCGGCATGTGCGCCAGGCCTTGATGCATTGGGAGCAGAGTAGATGGGCTCCAGACGAGAAGAAGGGAGATCAGATGAGCGTGATGCCCTTGCCTGTGGCAATCTCCTCACCAAAGGCGCAGACTACATCTTACTGATCGTCTATGTCGACGACTTGCTTTACATCGGCTCCACCGACGACGTCATCACCTGGTTCGAAGGGGAGGTGCAGAAGGACCTCACGCTCACCGTCTCCTCCACCGTCACCCAGTATCTCGGGCTCAACATCCGCGAAGAGGTAGATAGCATTTCTCGGATGTTGAGAAATACGCCGACACTATCGCCAAGCGCTTCTCGCTCACGCCTACCGCCATCGCCACGCCATACCGCCACACGACAGGAAGCGGCAAAGGAAATTCCACTCCACTTAAGGCTGCCGGAATACGAGACTACCAGAGGAAATTGGGCTGCCTCCTCTTCGCAGCTGTCACCTGTCGCCCGGATCTATCCTACTCCGCGAGTCAACTCGCCACCTATCTCAAGAAACCCGAAGCAGAGCACATGGCGGAGCTCGATCGCGCACTACACTACTTCGTGAGCACACCGACAATCGGCCTGACCTACTACAAGGGCGAAGCTACGACAACGAAACTGATCGGCTACGTCGATGCTGACCATGCCGGCGATTCTGATAACAGGCGCTCTCGCACTGGCTACGTATATCGTCTCGAGCCTATCGGACTTATCTCCTGGCAGTCGACTAAGCAGGAACTAATCGCTCTCTCTTCAGCTGAAGCAGAATATATCGCCCTCTGCTCAGCCACCAAAGAAGGACTCTACCTTCGCGAGCTGCTGGAAGAAGCAAAGTTAGCCGAGTTACCCAACTTCACCCTGTTCTGCGACAACCAATCTGCAATTTGCATCGCCAACAAAAGCGGATTCGCGAACAGAACGAAGCATATCGCTCTGCGATACTTCTTCGTGAAGGACGAGATCGAGAAAGGGAAACTCAAATTATCCTACTGTCCCACGTCCGAGATGGCAGCCGATTATTTGACCAAGAAACTCGGAAAACAGAAGTTCGAGTACTGCATGCTGCTGACTGGACAAGGCCACGTCACCATCAGCGACACTCCAGAAGCGAAGGGGAGTGTTGGGAACAATAAGTCTTAAGCGCCTCTGTCGTGTCGAAACTTAGGACACTAACGAAGCAGTCGGAATCGAAGCATCGCGAGTCAACCCTCGGAGGTTAGGGTAACCGCCTGGAGGTTACGGGAAAGTCAAAGGTTAGCGACCTTTGACTCGACAACAGGGACGTCGCTAGCAGAATTTTTTTGTCTGTTTGTCCTATATTGGAGGGTAACTTTTTGATTTAATCTGATGATTCAGAAATCAGGACTTAGTGAAATCTGTTCATTCAGAAATGCTTTTTTGCTATATCAGACCCATCAGAAACGTTTTCCATGTTCCTCTGATACATCAGGAGTACTTTCGGGTTTAGTCTGTTACCGAATCTTTCTACCCTTAGGCGTGATTCACGCGTGAGCAAGGCGTGGTGTGGGTGTTTTGCCGTGATTACCAGAGTGTATGCATCATGCACGCCGCCCCCCGTGTTCCCACGTGTTTCTATCGTACGTGGCCTGCCACAAGTGTGGGATTGGCTAGTTTAGTACAACAGTCATCAATCCAGCACCACAAACCCACAATTTCGGCGCCTGCCGAAGGTTCGGGAAGCGCGGTTTGGGTTCACCACAGTCAAGTGGTGCCACCCACAGTTTTCGGGAGCCATGCGCGGTTTGTCAACAGGGCTCTGTGGTCGGGCGTTGGGGTTTCGGGGGGGTCCTTCTTCTCCAGCCTCCTCTTGCAAACGCCCTACCTAGCCATTTTCACAGCGATTGCAGACGATTATCGCCTTAGTCACGTAAGTCCGCCCTCTCGCCATGGCGGACGACACGGAAACTGCCGAATCACCTACCCCACGGCCCAAACCACCTGTCACGGGCCTCGATTTCCTACGCCGTTCCCAGCCAGCCGCCGTGTTAGGCGCCTCTTCGCCGACACGCGTACCACCGTCTTCTTCCCCGAATCGGCAGGATGTCGCTCCTGTAGACTGGCCTGCTGTTAATGCTAGACGGGCTTTCAGTAGCACACCGCCTGTCTCCCCTAGTACCTCTGCACGGATTAGAGCTAATCCTAGATCGCAAGCGGCACCTAGCACTTCACGTGGTACTGCCGTGGGACGATTCCCAAAGGCAGGCCGATATACCCAGAGCACGCTGCGTATTGCAAAGACGGGGGTTCCTCACGTCCGCATCGTGTCAGGACCCACGCCAGAGCCTAGAGTTGAGGCTGCTGCTGCATCAACAGCACCAGAAGCTCATCCCACAGGTGATCCTGGGCCTTCCAGGAGCACCATCCACGTCCCTGATCCAGACGCGCTTATGGAGAAGCTCCACGAGCTGTCCAAGGAATTTTGGCGCGACAAATTCAAGTGGCTGATTATCACGCAGAGGAAGGACGGGACGCCGTGCATGAAGTGCAGTATATGCATGGCTCACGGTCCAGCCCACTGGAAGTTTGGTAAGAACGGCGAAGGTGGCGTTGATATCCAGCGGCAAACAATGCGGAAGCACGCGCTCAGCCTCAAGCATCAAGACGCAGTCAAAGCCAAGCTTCGCGCCGAAGGCGGTAAGGTTGCACAGAGGGGCATTGAGCAGTTTGAAAACGACGACAACGAGACTTCTCGGTTGAAACAACTGATGCTGGTCGTGCTATTTATCTGCAAATCCGATTCCCCCATCTCCCTGTTTATTGATCTTGTTCGCCTGTTGGGTGAGCTTCAGACGCCGCACATCCCGGACAAGTCCATAGGGACATACCAGTCAGCGTGAGTGAAAGTCTTTCTTGGTTTGTGTTTTTATTGTCACTACGACTAATACCACCTTCACTGTGTTGTGCAGGTACGGCTTCCGTGAAATTACCGAAGCGATCGTCACCAACCTGAGGCAGCAGCAGATGCGCCACATCCAGGCGTCTCCGTTCTTAGGAATTCAACTCGACGAGAGTACCGACCGGCGCAGAGGCAAGCACATGATAGTCTATCTTAGCTTCATTCGCGACGCCGAGGTCGTCACCGAGCTGTTTGGGCACCTGACAGTCGAGAAGTGCGACGCGTCGTCTCTGCTGACAGTACTTCTCGCCCATTTGGCCGTGACGGGCGTCGACATCATGAAACTGACGGGCATCAGTACGGATGGCGCGAGCGTGATGCGAGGTTCACAGGCTGGAGTGGCGACCCAGCTGAAACTGCGAGTCCCACACCTGGTGACGTGCCACTGCATCGCTCACAGGTGCGATGACAAAATCTCTCTGGCGGTGGTGTATGATCTTGTTGTCAGACGTTTTTCAGTGTTCTAACCGCTTCTTTTTGCACACTTGCAGGGAGGCTCTCGCCGCGAAGGACGCGGCGGAGGCGGTGCCCGACCTCAGCATGGTCGACACGGTCGTGCGGAGCATCGCAGAGAACTTGGGGAGGAGCATCGTCTTGCACTCCCGGTTCATGGAGCTACAACACATCCTGCACGAGACGTCTCTGGAGGTGCAGGGTTTTAAAGACGTTCGATGGCTGGCGCGTGGCGATGCGATTCGGAGGCTCGTGGCAGTCCTACCGGCGGCGATAGTGGTGTTGTGGGAGCAAGACAAGAAGGCCTACAAGACAGTCTCGAGTTTCAAGTTCCACTTCTTCCTGTTTTTCCTGGCAGATGTGCTGAAACTGCTCAACGAGCTGAACCTCAAGTTTCAACGGCGCATGGTGAGCAGTAGAGAGGTCCGTGCTGATGTTCATGCACTCGAGCATGTCTGACGTTGGCTTCTTGCCGTGTGCAGGTGGACATCACCCGGGTGGCATCAATGGTCCACAACACGTGCGACAAGCTGAAGCAGCGATACATCGAGCACGGCGTCAACTACGCTGAGGATAGCGAGTTGCTCACCGAGTTCATGGAGAAGCACGGAGCGTTGGACAAGCGGGAGGTGACGGTCAAAGGCATGGATGGGGAGGGAAGTCCCGTTAAACACACTTTCATGCTGCACGAGGACGCCATCAAGGGACAGAAGTCAAAAGGCGACATAGAATCATGCATCACTGTAACCCGCCTGTTTGCGCAGGAAGTTGTGAAGCACCTCCTGAAGCGGATGGAGAGCCTAGACACCCTCACCGGAGCGAAGCTTTTCCTGCCTGACGCGTACCCCGAGGGAAGCGCGAAGAGAGACCGCCTCTGCCAAGCCTGGTTCCAGTCTCTCCGCACGCTGTTCAGTGCGGAGAAGTGCGTACTTCCAGGTAATCTGTGCGTCTCTGTTGTGCGTCAATGTTACACGCTTGGTGATATGGTACCGCCACTGACTTATCTCCCCGTTGGCCCCCGCCCCTCTTGTACTTGCAATTGTGCGTGAGCAGGAGTGAGCTGGAAAAAGGCGGGACGAGAACTGGTGTCGTTTACCAAGATGATGGCCTCGCAGTACAAGGACCAGACCTTCCACGCCGGCCTCAAGCACATGTTGCGCAGCGACGACTGGGAGACGAGCTACCCCAACATGGTCCGCATCTGGATCGCCCTCGCCGTGCTGCCGCTGAGCACCGTCGAGTGCGAGCGCGGCTTCTCGAGGCAAAACATCATCAAATCGTGGCTCCGCGGGAATCTGTGCAACACACGCCTGGCGGACCTGATGTCGGTATCGCTCCTGCAGTACGAGCCGAACTGGGAGGACGTGGTGGCTGCTTGGAGGGGGGCAAAGAAGAGGCGCCCTGCTAAGGAAGTGACGACCAAGAAGAACACTCCAGAGAGAGCCCCAAAGCGGAAGGCCGAGAGAGGAACGTCAGCTGCTGCCTCCAATGAAGACGAAGATGAT